ACGCACCCACCCGCCCTACATATTTACCCTTTAGGCTTGGTAAGTTGAACACCGTTTCTCGAAAAAATATATTATATATACAAGTCAAATATACCTTTTATACATATATATAAAATTCCAGGATTAGCCAATGCCCAGGCCCCTTACCACTCCACGTCCAAGAAAATCCGACACTAATATGGCAATTGACATGATTGCCGAACAAATAAAACAACAATTCGTCTATCCTAGATGACATTTTTAATAAGCAGCAACGCAAGTAAAATATAATCTTGATATCTCAAGAATCACGGAACGTTAATCAACTTGGAAACGTTGAAATATGTCGCCATTCTTCTTTATCTTGCATGCGAGAAAAACAAAGAAGAATCTTGATGTACCCACACACTCAAAAGACTCTAATGCATATATAGAGACATGCATGTATATGCTACTACTATATATCTAATTATATCACACCGTGGACTCATCATACATATATACATGTATTCACAGATGGAAAAAGGAAAAGAAAAAGAAGATAGAAACATATACAGACCTGCTATTGCTGCAAATAGATGCGAGAAAGAGAAAAGGCCAGAAGAAGGAGAGAAGAGAAAAAGGATTTAGGATGGGTGGAAGAGAAGGCTAAGGCTGATGAGTATATATACAATGAGGATTCTGCAACCACCTGGGGATCTCCTCGGTATATTCCCTCCCCACTTTTAGGAGGCTTCTTGGTTTCCTCCTAAATATAGGATCCGTTAGATAATACCACACGTTCTCCAATAGGAAAAGGTAAAAATAAGAAAATAAAGAAATTTCCAAATCCAAATATTAAGAAGATTCGGCTTTTACTAATTCCTATTTTGACATCACGTTGTTTTAAAATACAAGGTAGTAATCATAATTAATTTATAAGTAGTAGTTTCTGATCACATGCGTTGTAGGTACATTTTATGCGTAGTACGTAGCACTTTGTATGTTGCATATACATCTCGTGTCATTTAGTATTTAAAAATCACATTGTAGATAATAAATTTGCGTCGAGAAAATAAAATCAAGACCGAAAAATATTGTGACAATCGTAGTATTTGATTACAAATAAAATAAGTGTACAATCTCTATGAATCCTCTGATTCTTCTTTCCAATAGTAAATAAATTCAAGGGTCTTCGAGCTTGATCTTGAATTTAATTTGTTCTTCGTTCTTGAGCTTGAACTTGATTGCTTGAAGCTTGAAACTTGTGGAGAAATTTGCAATGTTTGATTCACGGGCTCTTTCTTGCTTCTTGTTATAACTTCTGGTATCTTTTCTGGGTTATGATACCCCTATTTATAGTTGTGGAAGGGAGGAGTTGTGATAAAAACAAACTCTTTCCGACCAATCAAATTGAAGTGTGACATGACTGCATTTGATTGGCCAAAACATCTCACTTGCACATGTGGCGCGGTTTCACTGGCCTTTTGATTTCGCTTGACATGCCTTGTCATTTTGACACGTGACACGATCTTATTGGCTCTTTTTATTTGACTTGGCGTGCCACGTCATTTGATACGTAGCACTAAACTGGATCTCTAGGAAGATGTCATCTTGGGCTTAATGAAGTGGACTCATCACTTTAGCCCAATGGACTTGGACTAATTTATTAGGTCCATTTATATCGGACTTATATATTTGGACAAATATATCTTGAATTTAAAATGTAGTCCAAATTATTTTATTGAATTTAAATTTTAATAAATGCTTACACACATATAGATATAGATATAATTATGAAAAATCACGTATCAACTCCCACTACCCAGACCCACTCTCACCCCACCCACTCACATAAAAATTAAATTTTTTTTCCGATCAAGTGACAATGTATCATGGAGAAAGAAAGACCATTGGTGGAAGTAGTGTGAGGGTGGCAGGAGGAGAGAGGGAAGGGTGGAGGGCGGTAGTGACAGTGGTATAGTGGTGGAGGAAGTGAAGGGTGGAGGATAGTGGTGGCAGTGCTCTCAGAGAGAGGCGAGGAGGAAGGGGAAGGATGAAAGTGGTGGAGGGAAGAGAGAAGAAGCGGGAGGAGAAGAGAAAAAAATTGCAATCCCTTCGTTTCAATTTAAATGACACACTTTTTTTATTAGTCTTTTCTCAAAAGAATGACATAATTTTATATTTAGAAAGTATTTAACTATAAACTTTTTATTTTACCCACTTTACTTTAATGAGAAGCTTTTATAGCTACATAAATATCGTGGCCCCACAAAACTTTTGGCTCTTAAGTTTTTAGCACAGTTCAAAAGTCTTTTTTTTTTAACCGGTCAAACTAATTAGTTTAAATTGAAACATAGGGAGTAATTTTTTTGGCAATAGAAATAATGACTATTTTATACAGGAACTGTCCTGTTATTGAATGGATGATTCTTCAATTGTGCTCCTGCTTCAGTTGAGTCCTCATTTTTCCTTGAGATCTCTTCTAGTGACTTCCCCTTGGATTCTAGAACCAAGAAA